ACACAGAACCTGATGGCAGGATTAACAGGCTTTATTTTATTGAAAGCTGCGGATTTAAAAAATATTGAAATGACTTTTCAAATGACATTAACATCTTAAAGATTATATGAGCGTTTACTGATTGGGTTAATATATACTATAAATGCAAATCTCAATAAAGCTATTTATAATGTACTACCAAATATACAATCAAGTGATTTGTGTCCTAAAGAGCTAAACCAAACAGGTTTATATAGCACAAAAAACATAATATTTTATCATATTTATATATTCCCATTGAAAGGTCCTAACGTCTTATTATATGGAGCTAAAATGGACACATTCATGACTGATTGATGGGAAGGTATTAAAAGAACCCACACTTAAAGGAGCCAGAGGCAAATTTTCTCTCTATGTGAAGGAGGAGAGGTACCCACCTATAAAACCCAGGTATTTAAGGAATTCTCTTCGAGGAGAGAAAGGTTCTTCTAAATCCACGAAAAGCACATTCCATAAAATGAGATCCACGCCTCACGAAGCAAAGCCTAACTACCCACCTGGAATGGATATTCATAATACTGAGCTTCTAACAGGAATGTGTAGAGTCCATCAGGTCCTAGTATTCTGAGGTCTATAGTTACTTGGAAGAAGAATTCTAATTGATGATAGGGGCTTGTGCATTTTACCCTGCTTTATTAGATGTCAGAATTATTATGAAACCTTCCAAAAGACACTGTAGTGGACCCCAAGCATAAGAGGGTCCCTTCTATATTTATGACAGGAGCAAACCACAGAAGCATGGATACAATTGCTGTCTAGTATCTTAAGAGCATTTAACAAATACATTTGCTGGAGACAGAGTTTGATCATGTCACGTTGCTGGAGCGGAAGTAACTATAGTTCCATTTTAAAGATGAACTTAAGGTAAACAGCTAATTGTACAGTTTAAATATGCAAACTGCTGCTGATTGGTCAACGATGGACACCTAAATAATTGAACAGCATGGTAACTCCATCATATGCCTTTTTTGGTCAAGGGAACTTGTTGGAACCGATATTCGATCATTCACATTTGCTAGACAAAAAACAGGAAAGTTATCCACGGCCCATTTGCCGACTGCAACACTGAGGATGTTACCCAACGCATGGCAATTGTGTTTAGGACAGATAGATCTCGGTCAGAAAATGTACTCATCTACAGCTACCAAATTCTGGATAAAACAGGCTAGCACATTCAACTGTCTTCTCTGCAGCTTAGTTATCAGGGGGTTAAACTGGTAAGGACATAAGTGGCACCAAAGATGTCAAGAACTCTTGTTTCAAGGAAAAAATGTGTAAGCTCTCCGGATGTACGAGAGACTGCACAGGTACAGACTGATCCCAGGATAACTGGAATTCCATACATATCCGTAGCACAGGAAACAAAGACATTCTTCATCCCCATCTACCTGACGGCAGCAAAGAATAGGAGATTGAGAGAGAGAGCTAAGAGGCTTCACTGTAACAAGAGTATGAAAGGGACGATTTACAGAAATAAGCTTCACAAGACTAAAAGTAAAGTGCAAAGCAACACTAGCAACCAATCATAATCTATCTACCATGAATTGATAAATTGAACAATACTCAATTGGAATATTTAATTGAAAACTGCTGATGCAGAGGAGATAACAGGGCTGGGGATACTGCATACTGCTATTATCATGTCACACAAGGTATTTGTTTCTGACCGGGGATGAGGTGAGCTGGGCTTTTAAGTGTCAGCCCAACAAAACAGATGTTTCAGGTTTGACTGAATGCTGAACCACCCAGTTCTATTCAGTATCATAGCTTCACAAACTCTACATTACCAAGCCAAAATTCCATCTAGCACACTGATGAAAGCAAATAAACTTCTGTAAACTGCTGATATGGCTTCATATGCGTAATTGTGGCCGTGCTATAAAACAAAGACTTTGGATGCAGAGTTGGGACAATATAAGGGACTCTTAAGACACGGTTTTGGGTTGGCGCTCTTATTGGTTCTATCTCACATGGATATCTCAAGCTGAGAGGCCCCCTACCTTTGAGGGGTTCCCTGTTTTGTAGAGAGCTGCCCAACGCAAGCCATTAGGCTTAAATTATGACTTCTTTCCACTGACCGAAAATGTATGTTCAGCACTTCATTTTTATCCTTTTCTTAATTGTTGTCTTTGACCCCACTGGGACACCAATGTGTCCTGGATAGAAAGTGATGGGAATTCCCAAATGTTATAGTTGTCACCAGTACAAGAATAGAGAAGAAATCTTCCAGTGGGGAAACCTGCTCTAATAACAAATGTCTAGGTGGGGAGGAATTGTAACATTTTAGCCATTCCCTACGTTACCTAAAACTAAAACAGTTTTGGCCTTAGATATACTTTAAACCATCAGCACAAATGCAAATGTTGGATTGTAAAACAAAAATATTTCCTGTTTCAATGAAAAGTGAATGGTCAGCCTTCACTAATCTTCGTGACCTTGACGTCCTGCCTGTTCTATACATTCTTCAGTTGAAAACATTACTTCTCTATTTCAACTATCCAGGGAATGTATCAACATTATGACTTAGCAATTTTCCCACAATGGATTATAATAGCATGGTCAAGATCGGAATAAACTGAAAAATGTCAACTACTATTGGTAATCTTATATCATTTAGTGCCAGGAGTATTTACAAGGACACAGATAAGGATCAGGTACCTAAAGCGGATTTTGGCTTGTGACACTTATGGAGATCTCCCAGCACGCAGATTGTCTTTCATCGGCTATTTCATCACTTCACAGCACAAAACCAAAACAGAGATGGACAAATGATTGTTGGCGATTTCAGCAAAATGGATGTGGCACATACAAGTTTGCAATCTAACCAATGAAGGGCAGGCAATATTAAGCCAAGGGGCAATCTAAGTTCCAAGGTGCTTGGGAGCCCAGAAACAGCTCAACCATTCCAGTTCATCACAGAACTATGAACAATACAGAAGTAAATAGTCTTCAAATGGTCATAGACAGATGGACACAGCCATCCCAGACCTCCTATGCACATAATAGGTTTATAGGCTGCCATTCATTGTTTCCCTCATTTTGACAAACTGAGTAGGACAGAACATGGGGGTCAACCATAATAATGATACATTTCATATGTTCACCTGAGTATAGAAAGGTTGGTGAGCGGATGTGTTTTTCATTCCTTTCCTTGAGAGCGACTGTGAGTGGATTTTGTGATCTGAATGTGTTGAATGAGTCAAATAGGGGTGAGAAGATATTGGCAGTCTGTTACATGAGTATCAGTGGCTACTACTAACTACGAAAGCTCAATAATATCCGACTGGGGGTGCAAAAACCAGTACATGGATGTTATTTTTAAGGGTCACTTTGGGGTACAGCTGTGGTTCTTACTTGATTCTATTATCTCTTGAATTCTACAGGTGGTCGACAACCACGTGGACCACAAACGTCACATTGGCCATCACTGTGGACAGCTAACCCTGCCGCTAATTGGGAACCCCTCAGCCAAGAAGGGGTTTCATGAAGCTGGATCCTGTATATAGGCAGCTTTATGTTCCTCGAAGAAGAAGATAACTATGTGAAGTGTATGCAGTTAAAGGCTTGCAAAAGCAATGTATAGGCACTGTAGAGTCAGTCTGTAGCATTAAAGTAGGTCCTCAAGAGTGACCCAGGAGGGTGTTTGTTCCCTTTTCATCTTGCCATCCCTCCCCTAAATCTAAGCAGAGTGTGAAACAACTTCCCAGATCCCAACATGACAAAGAATAGTTTAATTTCCAAAGTAAAGTGCATCCACGGAGATTGCCCAGACATAGACAACCTGTGCTGCTAGGACTTAGAGTTCATCAAACCCATGAATGCTGCATCTTGCTGTACAAGTGTCTCCTATTTGGCATCTCAGAGAAGGGCGGCAGTCTGCTCCGTTGTCACAGTGTCCTGAAATGTGTGTTGGGGGAGGGAATCCACATACAATAAAATACAATTAAATGCACCGTCCCCTCCTCCTCCAGCACAGCCAGACTAGAAGAGTCACAATATTAGAGGACACCAACAGTTTAACCACCAACAAGGGCGTAACCTCAGAAAGACATGACTACATTGAAAACAAGTCCACAGCAGACGGATATTTTAGTTATGGGTGAATATTGGGAATCCAAAACACAAACAGTAATGCAGCTCCTATACAGAAGTTTTCAGAGCTTCCCTTACACTCCAGCCATTATAAGGCAATCAGCATCCACTTGTAGATATAGAATATCAGTCCTGGAAAATCAGTATTAATGTGGTAAAACTGGATTCATAGTTACTTTATCAACTGCAAACCTAATACAACCTGATACAGAGTTCCTTTAACAAGTATCAAGCATGAAAATTTAATTGTGTACTGAAACTGACGAACAGTCTGTGCTACCCCAAAAACTAATCACATTCTCCCTTTCATGTACTACAAATCAGAAAAGAAGGAGGCGATTGGCTCCAGACAGCGGCCCGTCAAGTTCCAAGTTCCAAAGCCCAATGTTTCCTACAATTTGCCTTCAGGAATCAAACTCCCTGCACTCTGTGTCAATTCTCACGCAAGACAAGGATCTAATGACTGACTAATTTGCAAAATTTAAACCAGGGGCCCCCCATAATCCCATATTAAAGTATTTGGCAGTCACTTTGAGCCCTTACGAGCTAACTTTACTAGTAATGGGTTATAACCTTACATTTACCAAACTACTAGAGGCTTTAACAGATCAGAATGAAACAAGCTATAAATGCTTTATTCTTTACAGAATGCAATCTGTGGAGACTGCTGGTAGATAAGGAAGGAGTCGAGTCTCAGTTTGGGCCTTCTGACCTCAGGGTAGTGCAAGCATTGTTCTATCTGCACCCCCTATAGTTGCATCCTGGGACCTAATAAACAATACAGTTACCAGATACGCACAGCTGTCCCTTCTTTAGTACACAAAGTTAAAATACATGCACAAATTATTCTATATAACAGTGACACTCACCTGACCCAGATCCAAAGTGACATTGACTTTGTTGAACTCCAGGCCTCTGGACAAGGGGGGGCTCTGCCACCATCTTTCCGTGCCGTCAATAGCATTAGTAATGGGGTGCGCTCTCTCTCCACCACTAGCTAGACATGTGTCACAGTACTGTCCCTGAAACCAAAACCAAGGCAGTCAGTAAAGTAATCAGGACATCAGCAAATACAACAATACAACATGTAGCTGACCTAAAAATGCATTACATTTACAATATATATATATATTGATATATATATATTGATATATATATCAATATATATATATATATACACACACACATTTAATGTCCAGTCTGATTTGATTGCAAATAAGATTTTTTTTAAACATTGTAATGTAATGGTAACATACTTTCAGACAAAGGAACTGGTAGACCCTTCAAAAATACAGATCCTTCAATCTCCTGTATCAGCCCTGTGATATAGATTTCAATGGTAATCTCCAGGAAGGAAGACAATGCAATTGTCTGTGGCAGGGGTGAGAAGTATATGCTTCTGCTAACGCAATCCATAGAGTTGATACGTTTTGTTTTTTTGGCAGAACTCACCACCAGCTGCTCTTGGTGACATTAGATGACAGTCCCCCAATCTGGCCTTTCTTTGCCCCAGATTGAGAGATCATATAATGTCTATGCGGCAGTTCATGAGAGTACCACGCAAATGTTTTGGGGGAATGAAGTGATTGGGTAGATTAGAAAATCTTTCCCAATCACAATATTGATTTTTGTGTTGCGGGAATTGCACACATGGCTCTATTTCCCTCCTCCATTGCCAGGCTGGTTTGACCATTTGGAGCATTCGCAGGATCAGAAGACAGGTCATCTAGAGATCTCAGCACTCATCACTGACAAATCAGTTATCTTCAAAGTATAAGCATCCATGCCTATGCACTATGTAAAAAGAAAGACAAAATTAAACAAAATGCTCATTTACTGATCACACAGAGAACACTGACCAGACGTAGATGCATCTGGCCAAATTCCCCATCCTCAGTCCTGCAGCATCATGAAACAAGGTGTCGCAAGTATAATGTCTTTGATTAATTTATGTATTTAGGCAATTTCAGAATCTCATTGTTCCCCATTGCGAAATGAATGCTTTACAGGCCTACCCTTCTGATTAAACCGTGATTGCATCCTGCTGGGGGCTCTTAAGTACTTGTATGCCTCTCAGAGCAAGGTCAGACGTTTCACAGTTCAAAGGGGCCGCTGGCAGCTCTGATAAGGGAGCCATGCAGCAATTAGTGAGATATAAGCTCAGCCAAACTCGGGACAGAACTCTGTGAAGGAGACTTGGATGAAAAGGCGATGGAGGCCGTCATCTGCAGACACCTGTAAATGGGGGGGGCTGCAATTTCTACAATGGAAATTAGAGGTTCAGTGAAAAGAGGAAATCAGTCACGTATTGTTAGATCAATCAGCCATAGAACCACTTCCACCAAACTCATTAAGAATGTTGCAACAACTATATACCAAGACTGATGTCAGACATGTTTTTTTACAGTGAGTTTGTACTGCCATTGTACAAATTCCTCAGCGAACTGCTCTATCTCACAGTGAAAGCCAATGGGAATTATTATGATCCTATTATACATACAGAAATGCATGGTAAAAGACAGTCTCATCTGGTGTATAATCAAAACTCTTGTGTGACATTGTCCTAACAATGCCCATCATTCCGTCAATTGATATTCTATTCTGTTGAATAGAAAGGCAAATTTCCAATCAACTAATAACAATAATATGAAGGTCAAGTGTTGGGCAATAACGCTCACTGGTCATCTTTGACTCTGTCAACTGCAGAGCTGGATCCTGCAGAAGGTAGCCTTGGCAGGAGCCTATGGCCCGTAGAATGTCCAGGGAGCCCGGCTACATGCCCCTGCAGTATACCAGGGGGATCGTGCAATTGGTTAAAGCTGTGCAGCAGTCTGTCACTTCCAAGGGAGGATGTACCTGTAGGCATTTGATATCTGATGGGGCCATGCCAGTACAGAGATTTAATGACACTGCTTTCCTGTGAGTACTGCAGTCCTTATCATCATATTTTAAAGGTATTGGGGGGTCAAAGCTACTGCCTTGCCTAGGTCCACATTCTGTCTTAGCCCATCTTTGGCTGATCATCTTGGTGAGCCACCATCAAGAGCCAAAAAGGAGACAAAATGGGAAATACATTCTGTCCATATTGGCCATCCTCATGGCTCTAATGTAGTGGCTACAGTGCAACTGACTGCAAAGCCAAAAACTTTCCCACTACCCACTGCAGACTGTGTAACAAGGGCCCCATGATGAATTCTATCCATATTAGCATAGGAGTCCTAGTGATAAGCTGGGGCTTGGTGTAAACCCAGTTTGCCGGAGTCCAGCCAAGCCCGCACAAACTGTGACTGACACCACAGGACTGATCACAGCAAGTCTCATCTACTTGTCCCCATTCCTTCAGTCAGAAACAGCACAGATCGAGAAACTGACTGCAAAACCTGTCATAAAGCAAAACATCTGTGTGAGAAGCCACAGAAGAAGGCTACTATTCTCCATTCCTGGACCATTCCATTTCATTTTGGCACAGAGCATGCCAGCCTAGGTGGCCACTATGCTCACGGTTTTCAGTGCGGCCTTGGACCAAAGATTAATTTTTTTATGGCCCCAGGGCTGCAAGGAGCCTGACAATCGTCACCTGGATCCTGATGCTGGAACCCCTCATATCATTATTCCGTCTCAGCTTTGCTCCCTGTAACCAGCACTCAGTACAGAAGACAAAAGGTATCTGCCTGCTACCTCACATCACAAAATGACTTTATTTTTAAATTAAGTTTTCAAAAAATGTTATCTCAATAAAACTAAAAACAACAAAAACATTAAAATTGCTGCCGGCAGAGTAAAATGTCAATAGGTGACGGGAACACAATTTTACATCAGCCAGTTCAGGCTTTATTACTCAAGCGTCAGCAGCGTAAACAAAGTGGTCCTGCCACTTAGAAATAAGTGGACGCTCATGACTATGTAACAGCACCACAAAGTGTACAGCTATAATCCACAACACTGAGCACTAGAGCGGTAAGTGTTGTGTGAAATGCTGTGGGTGGCGGGGGGGGGACTTCTTTTTCAGCGTATATTCCTCAGGTATGATCGTTTGGCAGAATGGCAAAAGAATGCTACATTATGCAATCAATATTGTTACATTCACCTGTGAATGTGTGCACAAACCGCACAAAACACTAAAAGGTCTATTTATAATTATTTCACACAAGATGCACACAACATTCACCCAGGATTCACACATTTCCCCAATTCAATCCATTTGGGAAATTGTGTGAATCTTGGGTGATACCTGTGTGAAAACATTTAGGGTCCATCTACACTTCTGTGCAGTGGCAACACTCATGTTACAGCGCACATTGCCGCGACATGTTCTAAGGCATGTAACATTTATTTCTTATTACTAGTATTTATATGGCACCGTCAATGTACGCAGCACCTCACATAATGTACATTCACATCAGTCACATGCGTTACTGTTGCAGTGCTGTTTTTTTTAATGGCAGTCCAATGCACTAGGCCAACACACCTGTGTTATAGTGCGCTGTGACACACTACTGAAGAAAAAAGGGTCAGGTACGATTTTTATCACGTTAGGGTGGGTTGGCAGCCCATTCAGTTTCAATGGGCTGTCTTAACGCAATGCACAGAAACGGGTGACATAGATCACGCTAACGGAACGCAAACGTTTAAATAGACCCCCAAAGTACACACCTGACACCAGACTTTGGACTCGAGTGAGAATTTAACCTCTTAGCATGAAATAAATCTTATATTACAAACCAATTAAAACCATCAAGTGTAATCGGATGTTCAAAAATGAGACCAATATGCACAGAAATACAAGAAGATGTAAAATACAAGACTGTAAAGAGCCACTAACACCATCCACATAGATGGATGCAGACATTCCGTACCTGTCCAAAATTCGACCCAATGTCTGTGTTTACAACAAACAGACACACTACCCCCAACTGGTCTGCATTATCCTTCGCTTGGACGCTAAAGGAGTCTTCTAACACCCTGGCCTTGGCTTCCATCCATAGGAAACCTTGACCGGAAGTCAGCTGTGTGCAGCAAAAAATCTCTGGTCCAACAATTAAAATGTATCTCCATCATCTTCAGCTCCTATAACCTTATACATTTAGCCCTCATTCACACCCCTGTGACCAACGCAGAGGTACTGCAAGCTGTGTTGTGTTGCGCTGCGGTAGGGTAGCCTATTCGTTTGAATGTGCTACCTACCGCAGCCAAATCGCACTCAAAGAAGTGCACCGCACCACATCACATCTCACATAGTAATAGGTTACCATGTGGACTCCTGCTAGATTGTAAACTCTCATGAGCAGGGCCCCCGTACCTCCCGTACTGAAGTTGTACTGTAACTGTATTATCTCCCTCAGTTTTGTAACGCGCTGCGCAAACTGTTGGCACTATATAAATCCTGAATAATATTAATAATACAATGCACAAGCAATGGCTAGGTGCGGTTGGTTGCCATTAATAAATATTGCCACTGCAAAGTCACCTCACATTGCAATATGCTATGTGGGATCACGCCTGGGATCGCAAACGCTTCTGCAATGGGTTGCCATTAATAAATATTGCCACTGCAAAGTCACCTCACATTGCAATATGCTATGTGGGATCACGCCTGGGATCGCAAACGCTTCTGCAATGGGTTGCCATTAATAAATATTGCTACCGCAGGTCACCTCACATTGCAGTATGCTGTGTGGGATCACGCCTGGCATCGCCCACGCTTCTGCAACGGGTTGCCATCGCAGGTCACCTCACATTGTAATATGCTATGTGGGATCACGCCTGGGATCGCAAACGCTTCTGCAATGGGTTGCCATTAATAAATATTGCCACCGCAGGTCACCTCACATTGCAGTATGCGGTGTGGGATCACGCCTGGCATCGCCCACGCTTCTGCAATGGGTTGCCATCGCAGGTCACCTCACATTGTAATATGCTATGTGGGATCACGCCTGGGATCGCAAACGCTTCTGCAATGGGTTGCCATTAATAAATATTGCCACCGCAGGTCACCTCACATTGCAGTATGCTATGTGGGATCACGCCTGGCATCGCCCATGCTTCTGCATGGCATAGGTGTGAACAGAGCCTAAAATACTTCCTAAAAGCCTTTTCTACACTGAGGGCCATATTTGTAAAGCAGATAACCTGACATCTGAACATTTGTTGCAGGTGGATCTTCAAGCTGTACAGGTTTTAAATGGCAGTGAATGTTTGGTGAAAGTCACATTGGCTGCTTTATAACTTTTGCCTCACTGGCAGTGGCCAGAAATGACAAGTGCACAGATTCCTGGGCTGTACCATTGTGAGAGCCAGGGGACCCTACTCCCAGTGCTTGCTAAGTGTGCAGGCAATACCAGCACTTTCTCCTTGGGGACCAGAGAAAAAAGGGACACCCTTCCCCTTAATGAACTCTGCGCTGCTCCTCTCCCTGCTGCTAGTGAAAGTGAAACATCAGCTACGTTGAATACAAAGTAACAATCATACAACAGCAGGGGACACAATATCCCCTCCTCGTATAAACAAAGCCCTGGCTTTAACCCCCTGCGTGCCAACGCGTACACTACCTGGATAGTCTGGCTGGGGTCCCCCGACATGGGTCCCCCTACTAGCTTGCAGTAGAGGTCCTCCACAGGTCTGCCATCCTCGCCCTCGCCGCAGGTGGCTGTGGCCGAAATCTTGGTGCCCTCTGCCAGGTTGAAGTAGGGAGGGTGCAGGCTGTAGCCATTGACTCCATTAATGGGCAGATCCTGGGCGCCGAGCGTCCTCCAGAGCAGACAGAGGAGCAGGCAGTGGTGAGGTCCGGGCACTGCCATCCTCCCGGGGTCTGTGGGAGAGGGATGAGACTCTCTGCTGCGCTTCTCTTGCTGGATACAAACTGATGATCCAGGGACACAGAGAGAGGAGGGAGGGGCGGGGCAGAACTGAGACCTGCCCCAGGGCTCTCACCACTGCTGGGGGGCATCAGCTACACCCACTGCCCTGGATCAGCTCTGCCACTGCCCAGGCACCATGCGTGTATATATAGGCCATGTGTGTCTGCTCAGCCTCTATTACTATGGATCATGTACTGCTTATTATTACTGGAACTTTGTATCGAAGTTTATTGTTATGTTTAACTTTTAGATTTGTTTAAAATAAATGTAGAAATCTTTCCTGGTGCGGAAGTTTTTTTGTTTATTGCTAGCTGTGCCTGCAGCAGGAAGGTTTCATGTATTTATTTATTACCGTTTAGGAAATAACATGATCAACAATAAACAGGAGTCTTCATACAGGGTTTGTGTTTTATTGTGCAAAGTAAAAACATCAACATTTCTAGAAGGATTTTATTTTATTATTAAAGTGACAGTTAAATAAAAAAAATGCATTCAAGTACCTGAAGTATCAGTCCCCGTTCACAGTTAGGCGTTTTGATGCTAAAAAGATCAGCGCGACAAAACTCTCAACACAAGTCCCATTCATTTCCATGGCTGCTGTTAGCGTTTGGTCGCAAGCTGTTAATCGGCGAACGCTGGAAAAAGCTTATTTTTGGTAGATTACAGCGCGTTTGTCGTCATAGACTCCAATGGAAACGTGCGACACAAACGGTTTGCACATTTCTGTGTGCGTGCGTACGTGCGCGTGCTAAAATGCACGTCTTCATGTGGGCATATCTAATGCATGCGAAAATGTGCAAAAACACACTGAATGCGCTAGACAAAATAATCTGGTTCTCACCGCACTCCTTACTGGTATGTCCCTTTTAAAGTGGGTGCTGCAGTGATAGCGGATGTCGCCACTTCATGGTCATGCTTGCTGAAGGGAGCCTAACTGGCCCCCGAAACGTTGCTTTGTGATGAGATGCGTGTACATCAATATAATGACTACTCGTTGAAGATTTTCTGCTGGTGAGGTGCTAAGGTACAGGAGGATCCTAGATACTGTTACTAAGGTACAGGAGGATCCCTGAGACTGTTGCTAAGGTACAGGGAGATCCCAGAGACTGTTGCTAAGGTACAGGAGGATCCTGGAGACTGTTGCTAAGGTACAGGAGGATCCTGGAGACTGTTGCTAAGGTACAGGAGGATCCTGGAGACTGTTGCTAAGGTACAGGGAGATCCCAGAGACTGTTGCTAAGGTACAGGAGGATCCTGGAGACTGCTTCTAAGGTACAGGGAGATCATAAAGACTGCTTCTAAGGTACATGGAGATCCTAGAGACTGTTGCTAAGGTACAGGGAAATCCTGGAGACTGCTGCTAAGGTACAGGGAGATCATGGAGACTGCTGCTAAGGTACAGGGAGATCCTAGAGACTGCTTCTAAGGTACAGGGAGATCCTAGAGACTGCTGCTAAGGTACATGGAGATCCTAGAGACTTCTGCTAAGGTACATGGAGATCCTAGAGACTGCTTCTAAGGTACAGGGAGATTATAAAGACTGCTGCTAAGGTACGTGGAGATCCTAGAGACTGTTGCTAAGGTACAGGGAAATCCTGGAGACTGCTGCTAAGGTACAGGAGGATCCTGGAGACTGTTGCCAAGGTACAGGGAGATCCTGGAGACTGCTGCTAAGGTACAGGGAGATCATAGAAGGTACAGGAGGATCCTGGAGACTGCTGCCAAGGTACAGGAGGATCCTGGAGACTGCTACCAAGGTACAGCGAGATCCTAGAGACTGCTGCTAAGGTACAGGGAGATCCTAGAGACTGCTGTTAAGGTACGGGGAGATCCCAGAGACTGTTGCTAAGGTACAGGAGGATCCTGGAGACTGCTTCTAAGGTACAGGGAGATCATAAAGACTGCTGCTAAGGTACATGGAGATCCTAGAGACTGTTGCTAAGGTACAGGGACATCCTGGAGACTGCTGCTAAGGTACAGGAGGATCCTGGAGACTGCTGCCAAGGTACAGGAGGATCCTAGAGACTGCTGCGGGCCGGAGTTTGGCCATCCGAGACCACTGCTAAGGTACAGGCAGATCCTGGAGACTGCTGCTAAGGTACAGGGAGATCCTGGAGACTGCTGCTAAGGTACAGGCAGATCCTGGAGACTGCTGCTAAGGTACAGGGAGATCCTGGAGACTGCTGCTAAGGTACAGGAGGATCCTGGAGACTGCTGCCAAGGTACAGGAGGATCCTGGAGACTGCTGCCAAGGTACAGGAGGATCCTAGAGACTGCTGCCATCTTATACTGTAACTCATTTAGCATAAGCGAATACAAGCCTGATCCTGAAATGACCTCCAGTCATACTCCGTAGGACCCTGTGTAGTTTAGATGGCAGGTCTCCCAAACCCCCCTTTCATGCTGTCTGTGATGCCACACCTTCCCCGTTAGCTGAAGAGGGATTCTAATGGGAGCAGAGCATTCCGGTATGTGGCAGAAGCTGTCCCTACAGACATTATAAGATGGTAGGATGTGCATGCATGTTCAACCATTGTCTATGACCAGTTTATTGCAGTCTGTTTAACAACCATATTAATCTGACTTTTTTCACCCAGAAACCCCTTCAAACTATTCAGGACAACTGCAATCTGCATTTGGCCCTCTCCAGCAATCATTAGTGTGGCCCTGTGAATTGAATGTATTGCTCTTATAATGACGCTATTACACACCCTGGGTCAGGAAGCCCAGCACTAGTCTAGATCCACTTATCTGAGTTTAGATGAGCCAATTAGAGACAGCGGCAGCATGGGTGATTAGGAGTGAAGATGTTGGGTGGAGGACAGGAAGGGAGAAACTTAACGCTTCTTCTTCCTGCTTTAACAATGCAGAAGGAATTGTTCACAGGCAACACAGAGTGTGCTACATGGTGGATATTGAAATAAAACATGTTTAAAGTGTACGTCCAACCTAAAACAAAATTCGATATCAATTTGGATTGAGTGTAGAAGAATTTCTTACTGTCACAGTGACAATGGTCCCACCAGATGGGCAACGAGAGAAAATCTGCAACAGGGACACAGCAGGAAAAAAGATGCAATGAGTTCTTCCCTCCTTCTACTCTACTTATATAAAGTAACACGCTGAACCCTTTACATACATGAAGCGTGTGAATAAGGCTCAGGAGGGCAGGATTGTCAATATAAAGCTGACATCAAGAAAACGGGGACAAGACCTCAAACCAGCAGGAGGGAAGTTCTGGATTATTTATTGATTACAGATGTTTATTTAATTTATCGCCAACAATTTGTATGCAGTACTTTACATAGGGCACATTCGCATCAGTCCCTGCCCTCAAGGAGCTTACAATCTAAAGTCCGTATCACACATGCATATATACAAGGGCCAATTTACAGAGCAGCCAATGAACCTTCCAGCATGTGTGAGAGGAAACCGGAGTACCCAGAGCAAACCCACACAAGCACAGGGAAAACATGCAAACACCTTGCAGATAGTGCCCTGATTCAGACCAGGGACCTAGTGCTGCAAGGCACAAGTGCTAACCACTAAGCCACTGTACTAACCATTTTTTTTTTTACTTTTAAGGAATAGTAGATGCTCGAGCAGACTAACAGTAGATGTAGAGAGTCAGTCAACAGTGCTTGGGACAAATAAACTTGTATACTCAGAAAGAAAAGTGAAAGCTAATCTTTGGGCAAGCCAAATAATTAACCTTGCATGGGGCTACTCCACACTGCAAGGGTTAAGTGCTCATTGATGCCTAGGGGGACTGGAGGGGGACTGGACTGGACTGGAGATTTTTCCTGTCCCCTAAGCATAAATGAGCCGTTTATTTCTTGCAGTGTTGCTACCGCTGCACTTTTTTGGTTTTCCCGGAGATAGGCTTTCAAAAAGAAAAAGAAAAACATATATAAAAGATAATTATTCAGAAAATGGGCAGATTAAATGGACCACTTAGTATTTTTTCTGCCTGTTGCTCTTCTATGTTTCTATGTTTAGTTCTGTTGGGAATTTTCCTTCTCTTCCTGTCTTTCTAAAATGTTGTTATCGGGACAGTGAATGAGGGGAAATCTCCCCGATAGCAGCAAAAACCAGACATGGGTTCTAATTATTCAAAACTACAAAAATAAAAAAGTTTTGGCTTAACATACACGCTAATCCTGGTTTCTACAGCGACCTTATCAATTTCAAAATTCCTTGACTATACTAGTCTGGCCATTTGTAAACACAATCGCTCCCTTTTCTCACATGGCATGGTGCACACCACACAACCTAAAGCTTTCTAGGAATTTCTCACTTTGGCATTAAGTCCTAAGAACTTTCTGTAACTGTCAAGTGCAAGCACACTTACTGACACAGGTCAGGAGTGCAATACTAGAGAAAAGAAGGCGGCAGAGGAGAAATGTGGTCATGTAAGTTGGAGACCACTGATGAGACCAAGAGGAAACCAACTTGTGGCTAATTAAAAAGGTGACCACAGAATCTCAAAGGACAACAAGCAATTTGGTAAACATAAGAGGGCAAAATCATGAGATCTCTGCGCATGTGGATTCAACCAATTTGTAAACTGCCAATGCCTTCTAAGAAATGTTGCAAATGTGCTGCTATCAGACATCCACTAAGGAAGGAGGACCAGAGAACATACTTGCCCAAGCAAATTTAGGGCCATTTGGAAAGTTTGTTGTAACTCATCATTAGAGATGAAGCTGGGCTTGGTGCAACAGCAGTTTGGCTGAGTTCACCCATGCCCGCTCAGAACTGTGACCGCCACTTCCCACTCCCAGCCCAATCAGCGGTGGCAGTTGTGGCCGAGGCATTCCCCGTCCCTTTGTATAGCTGCAGGGCAGGGAATGCACCTCTTCACAACTGATGGATTGGGAGGAGGTGGGTAACAGTCAAGGTTTTGGGTGAACTCTATCACACCAAGCCCAGCCTCATCACTACTTATTATCTAACAACAGAGGGAAGTCAGGGCTGGGA